CCAGTGAAATATATTTATGTTTGTGGTTGTAATGTGACAAAATATGGAAAAGTTCAAGGGGTATGAATACTTTTGCAAACCACTGTATATGCACAACCCCAAACATCTCCATATATTACAAAAAATAAGTAATATTGCAAAATATCATCCCTTTTAAATGAAACCAAAACGCGATAAATAATAATAACACAAGATATCAATGAGGAAACATAAGTGAGTGAAAAACTCTAAATAATTTGTTGAACTACAGTTAAACTTAACAGTAGTGGCTCGTGAACAAAAAAATTAGTGGGGCACACATTATTTTCCTGAATCAATATCAACACGAGTGTTACAATTTGTGGCATCTCTGTGAAAAAATAAATAGGTTACGTTACTTTTAGTCAGTTATTTGTGCACAAAGCTGTCGTCTTTTTTCTCCCTCATCGTAGGATCTCTGAAAAAAAAAGAGGTCCAGCATTAATCAGCTAAAAGCCTCCCACCCGAACTTATTTTGTATTTTAATTGTTGAAAAAATTGATTAGACAGGTAGCTAGTACACACAGCTTTCTGCAGTAAAACACCAGATTAACAAAGTTAAATGGGGACAAGACATCTTGTGAAATAATTCTAAATATGAAAGTAAAAAAACAAAAAAAAATGCATCCTCCAAGACTCCAGTTCAGACAGATAACTTCATGAACAGCTCTATTTTAGCACAAACTGAGTTCAGTAATTCACACAGTCGCCACAGATTAGGTTAAAAACTGTCCTTCCTTGGCAAAAAAAAGTCCCGTTCCCTTTTTTATGTTTAGTTCTTGGTGTTCAGTTCAAGCTTGCTCTGTCTTCTACAATCCATATTTAAACAGAATTTTTCAAATGTTTTACTGAGTTCTATTCCTGCGTTTTATGAGCTCTCTTTACTGTTTGTATCAATGAGCTAAAACCAACAGAAAGTTTTACTGCCACTCTATTCAGAGGAGTTGATAATACAAATTATTGCCAGCAGGGGGCGCATATGATGAGGACATGACTGAAACGCAGGGTGTCAGACTGTTCTGCCCATTGACTGTAAATAAGAAAAACATGAGAATAAATCACTGCAAAACATTTCAAATTCTGTTTAAAAATGTAAAAATAATTGAAAAACACACAGAAAAAAAGAACACATGGCAGGCTGAGTAAATAAACATTTTACATTGTTTATTAGGAGGAACTACTTTGTGGGGTGAATGAATATTGTTTGCCCTWATGGACGAGCTGCGCCTGAAACTTAAAATAATTTCTGACTTTAATGATTTGCCTAGAACCATATATTTGATTTTGATTTATTTATTTAACAGGAAAAGATTACTAAAAATCAAGCCTGACTCAGCATAATTGCTGTTTAATAGCAGGTTCCTGTTCTGCAGCACATAAAACACTCAGAAATACAGCATCACAATCACATGCGCTAGAAGGGTATGAAGAAAGTCACTTGACAACACACGGACCACCTGCTTGTTTCTGTCATGTGCTGGTGGTGCGTTCAATGACCAAAGAAAGCTGGATTTCTCAGGGCTTACCAAATAAAAACCAGAAACAGAATCAGACTTTCTTTATTTGTTCGACCTAGCTGATCAAGCTGAAAACTGGCCAATACCAGTTTCAGACTGATTGCTTGGTTCATCCCTACTACCGGTAAGTTGTTATAAAAGCTCACACAGCCCCTCACTGGAAAAACCTAGAGATCATCATTATTTAAAGGGGCAATATCATGTAAAATTAACTTTTTTTAGTTTTATATCATGTTATAATGTTATAC